CTCTCTTTCTGACGAGTTTCTTTGTGCCCTTGTTCTTGCCGGAGGGTGCGACCCTTTCTCTATGCACCCGAATGCACCCCGCGGCTCGTTAATAGGTAAAAATGTCGCCGGCGCTCGCCAACGAACCACGTGTTGAGAACCTCCCATCGTCATGGCAACCCCCATAGTCCAAGCTCACAGACGACTAATATCACTGCAAAGGTCCAGGAATGTACTCTCAACGTTACCATCCCCCTTTCCATGTCATCATATCTAGTTTGATGCAGTGAAATTTGTCCGATCGAGAAGGATATAAATATTCCATCTAATTAGGTATAAAAATTATTCCGCAATGAACTTGATTTATTAATTATTTGTATGTATTAATTATATGTATTTGAAGAATCTGACAGTTGACAGACACATTTTTTTTCATTAAAAATTATGTCACAAATTAAAATTTCATTAAAATAAGATGAATTTGAAATTAAACAAAGTATGTATAAAATAAAGTTTTATCATCAGTTTTCGTGTTTTTGAAATTTAATTCGAATAAATGTAGTTTATTTTCGATCGGTTACAATTCCCAAGAGATATTTATATTTTTATCTACATATATTAAAAATATATTTCAACATTTTTTTAAGAAAAAAATGTATTCTAAGTTGCACGAGAGAATAAATAAAGTCTGTTGGACATGTATGTGTGTGTCACCAAGGAACATCCAGATGCATACGGATATTGCGCTGCTTCGTAGCACTTACATATTCAGGTTTATTCTTTAGCCTGTAATGTAAACGTCTCGAGGATCCCGTGACATATGCAGGCCCCATAGAGAGATATATTACTTTTTGTGTCTCATCTATTTCAGCATGAATTATGTAGGAAGATCGATACGCGTGCGATGCGAGAGTATCTTGATGTGACACCGCGATTTTTTCGCATATTATTGTTTTTTTATGCAGATACGCGTAATTAAAATCTCTTTCTAATATCATGTAAAAACTTTCGTGAAAGATAGAAATTTATTATTTAATTCCATTATTTCTTTGAAGCAATAATACATATTAAAAATATACATATATAAATATAAATATATGTAGATTAATAAATATAAATAAAATCTAAATAAGAAAAATAAAGATAATAAATATATAAATAAATGATAACAAAATATGAAAACAATTGATATAAATAATGAAAATGTAATTATTGCATAAAGCATAGTATAAAGTATAATATGAAGATCCTTTCAAATTTAAGATTTAAAATTGTGGAATTTCCAAATTTCATATAAATCTCTTGATAAATTTTTATTAATTTTATTTTTTCTTTGTCGGAAACAAGGCGAAGTGGAATTTAATTAATGGCGCGCGCATCGCAATAACTCGACGCATGATCGATCGACAATGAGCTCTTTCTCCTTCTTCCCTTCTCTTCCTCCCTCCCATCCCTCTCTCTCTCTCTCTTTCTCTTTTCTCTTTTGCTCTCTATTTATCGGAAATGTCATTCGTTAGATGAATTCCTTCCGGATGGATCGAGAAAAGCAGTTTATTTTTAGAAATATTTCAAGATAGCCGATATCGATTTTTACCAAAACCGATGCAATTCAAACTATATTCTATATAATCGTGTTCTTAACCTTTCTCTGTCTTGACAAATATAGAAAAATATGTTATTAAAAAGCATCAAAAGTCATAGAAATATTGAAAAGATTATTAGCTGCCTGTGTTTTATTTAAATTCGAATTATTTTATAATTCTTTTCTTAATAAACACAGAAATAATTTTAATTGAATCATAATTATTCAGAATAAAATATATATATATTTTTTTTAATTTTTTAAAATATATGTAAAAAAATTCTTCTATTGCGCTTTGTCACTATGAGCATGCTACTTTTTACTTTTGAGCACCATCTTTTACGTATATGACTCACAATTAGCCGTGAACTAGAAATAGTTTCCTTATAATACATGATTCTTCGTTTCGAGATAAGAACAGTTCATTGCAGATTACGAGAAGCACTTGACAGTTCCTCTTGACAGAGCTCAACATCTCTGAGTAGAAAGATAGATGGTATAGATTTAATTATTAATAAAGAATAACAAATATATTATTACTCTTAAAACAGTTTTCACAATAATAATAATAAACTACTCAAATGTATGTATTATTTTCGTTTTATTGATGATAATATATAATAAAATTACTATTTTTACACACATACAAATGTAAAATATCTATTTCTAGTTGACATTGACGCTGATCAAATTATTTGCGTCCGCGCGATTTTAACGTATATAAATATATATAGTTGAGATATTCGTGATACAAGCTTAAATGGGCCTCGAAACTCTTACGAGCTCTCGACTTTTTGTCACCTTTAATTTTCGCAGAACGCTGATAGGCTGATAGTCATTTTCACTTAGCGATAGAAAAACTTTCCGTCAGATGACAAATAGAATAAAAGGAAAGAGGAAAGAGAACATACACAAGAGGAAACGTCGAGAGGAGAAAGAACGAGACGGTTTAGGCTAGTGGCAGGCCGTATTTTTCCGGTCGATGATCATCATAATCGACAACTTTTCCAATCCCCTTTCGCTCGCAAAATCTCGTGACTGAAAACCATTAAGAACATATACCACTAGCCTGCTTTCCGCGGCATTCAATTAACGTCACGATAAAAATTCCTTTGAATCACGGCAATATTCAACTTTATAACAATATTTTTATTCATATAAAAATACTTATATATATTATATTATATATACAATTATAGTTTTTAAACACATACAGACACACTTCCTTCTTTTTCTTTTAATTATTTTAACGCGCTTTTAAAAATTCAGTAATATTGCGCTGCATTAATAATATAAATAGATAATAAAAATGCTTTATATACGAGAGGGAACCGCGGATTATAAGTATACCAGACACGGGAGACGAAATCGAACGATATCAGCGGCGACATCGTAAATTTTCTTTTAAGATTGGCAACGTTCCAATTGTAACGAGGCGATCCGACGCAACGTCTGGAATTGCAAGCCCTCGTTTTGAATACGAAATCATGTAAATTCTGATTCGTATGTTTAAATAGATAAACCCCAATTCTTTCTCTTGCATCCCAGTGCAATATGCTATTGCTGACATCTCACAATTAATCCTCGAAAAATGTCTCGCAATGAAATTTGCTCGATATACTATATACATACAAGGATATAAAAATATTCGATCTAGGACTTATAGAAATATTTTTTATAAAAAGTTTGACATATTAATTCTTAATATAATCGGACAATTTAAAAACATGATAATATATCCTTAATAATAGATTTTTTTTCGAGAAAAAAGAATTGGATTATTTTTATAAAATACGAAACAGAACTCGACAAGCCAATTACTGAATTACTTTGTCTTAGTCTTTTATATATGAAATAATTGCATGGAAATTACATCCAAATTATGTAAAAGCCTATTTACATCACGGTAATGCAATGCATTCCTTATATAATGTAACCTCCCGGGAGAATTTACCTGCGAGTTTCCGAGCGATTACCGACACGAGGGTGCTTCTGTAAGGTAACAAGAATTCGCGCAACCGCTTCACGATAAGTTAGTCGTCTAAGGGGAGAGATATCTTTGTCCGCTAGTTCTTTCACAACGCCTTTCGGATCGTAAGAAAGGCACGCGCTCCCGACTCTTGCAGCCTTTCAGACTAAATTAAATGGAAAATCCAGAATTTCCATCTTTAAATCCACTCGACCAACGAACGAAAGTTCGTCATGTTTATCAGACTGTCGTGATAATAAATCTGTTTGATCAAATCAACATCATAAGATTAAAATAAATAAGATTAAAATAAATTTCCATAAAAAAATACAATACGCGGAATGGTTCAAAAGTTCGGTTAATTTAGTGTTTAAATAGTAATAATTCCAAATAATTAGTAACTAATATTCCATTGTAAGAATAAAATTCTTGCATTTATTTATATTTGGTTTTTTCATTATATTTAATTTAAAAATATTCTGCATAAAGCTTTATTAGCCACTCTTACAGATTGTAATATATTTAAGCTTAGATACACATATTCAGAAGAATTTATTTACAATAGCAGTTCTGATTATCAGAGAATTAAAAATTAGAGAACTCTAAGCATCATTATCTTATGCCGTTACCGTTGCACTTCGTTACTTTCCGTGCCGTAACTAATAAATGCATGTACATATGGCAGCAAGCAGCAGCAGATTAATTCCGTATACCGTATGACGCGACATTTCCTTTCCGTCTGACATGCATTGAAAAATTTACTCTTCCTTAATCTTAAAAAATTTTTTTAATATAATTTAACTTTTATTATTTACATATTATTATTATTAAAATAATTGTTATAAATAACTGTTTTAATATAAACAGACACACAAATATATATTGTGCATTTTTAATTGTGTGTGTATTTATGCATTTTATATATAAAAACAAAACTATTCATGTATATTAAATAGTTTAATCTGATATATTTAAACATTCGAGAGAGGAAAAGAGAAAAGGAGATTTTGGATAAATATGTACATAAAATAGCTTTCATAATTCTTATTCGTCTCTTGATGTAAAAAGTGAATTATTCTTTTTATTCTTAAAATTGTTTATATATAATCTTTCTTTGGATCCTCTAATTTTTGTTTAAAAATTTTTTAATATTTTAAACTATTCTCTCTCTCTCTTTTATTATATTATATTTAATTGCATTATATAAAAGAGGCAGAATATGCTTGATCTCCAACATTTTTGGACAAATTTCACATTTTATACAATCCAATTGCAACTGTAACATGTCACTTGTATGCTATATCGAGACACGGCGATATAACATATAAACTCCTGCGTGGGAAAACCAGTGTTACGCTGCGCCATTTACGTAACACTGGCCGTCCGCGTCGTAAACCCGTCGTAAAGCCGATCTAATTGACACGAGAATGTGGCGGTTTATAATCTTTTTTGCTCTCTTTCGTGTTGCAGGAGCGATGTCTTCCTGGAACCGTACCTGCAGCAGCACGGGACCGTTCAGGTGGTCAGCTCGCCGAGCACTTCACCGCCGAATCCGCTGCAGCACCGTCAACTTACGCAGCTGCATCATGTACAGGTGAGTTATTGAAAGAAAAAACGAAGCAAAGAGAAGAACAATGCAATTTTAATCAAAGTGCATAATATATATTGAGTCTATTTGTATATAAAAAATATATTTTTATTATATATATATATATCTCTTGTCTTTTAGCTAACGTAAATGTATTATCATTTTTGGTGAAAAGAAAACTTTATGTTGTTATCAGTAATTCGTCCAACAAATTTATATAAAACTTATATAATACGTCTCTGCAATGCAGGAGATACTCATTCATTACGGGGACGGGATTGTCCGACTGATTATAAAATTTGCATGCAGACGGTAACTGTTGTGCGGTAACATGACTAAATATCGTGTTTAATTAAGCACACTATAACATGCAATTTAAATTCGTAGTTGCAGGACCATATTAAATTTTGTGACATTAATTGCTCCGTCCTTCAAAAATGTTTTTATTTCTAACATTACGGAATATTCATACGAATTTGACCACACCGCGTGCGCAGTAATATAATGACTCAATTTATAGACGATTTTGTTTGCTGCAAATTCAAATAGCAAATGATAATCGCGAATGCATATTCGCGATATAATTAAAGAAAATAATTTTAATATCAAATACTATAAATGTTTTAATAGATTTTATTTTATTATTGTTCTGAATTTATCGACTGAATTTTGCGACTATTATGAAGATTTTTAAATTATATTACATATAAATATTGATACAATGATTATTCACTGATGAGAAAAATTGATTTGTATAAGAAAAAGCATATAGCTCTCTACATAAAAAACAAAAATATCTTTGAAATGTCGGAAGTTTTTCCTGGAACAAAACCGCATTGACCACAAGACATCTTTCTTAAAATCAAGCAGCTTTATCTGAAACTTTTTTTTTTGTACAATGCACTCCTTATTGTAAGGAGTTATTGGAAGCAATTATATGTGTTAAATGACTCATTCTATGTGTATCTTTTATTTATCATATTATATACATTGTCAGAATAAAAAGTTTGAATAAAGATTTAATATGATGCAAAAAATATATGAAATAAAATATCCGTCAAATAAATTGTTTTGCGTATAAAATATAAAACATAAAAATATGTCTACATAAAATATGTAAAATAGACTTTACATCCGATTATATTTTATCATTTTGAGTCATAAAATACATATCGTGTCTATTATTTTATTTTGTATGCTTTTATTTTTATTTAGTACATTTCTATGCTTTAGATAAAAGATCCTACATATTAGAGAAATGATGTAGTATCCCCTTTTAACTTGTCTTTAGGATAATTTACATAATATGGCAACTTGGTTCTAATGTCGCATAGAGATGTAACTATATTTTTCATATACTTGATTTTACATCCAGACGGAACAACGAGAAACAGGGCGGCGTCTTATCGCGTTGAACTTTTTCTGATACGAGCAATTAAGGGATTTACAATTAGCTTTCTCTTTCCTGCCTCCCCCCCCCCTCCCCCATCTCCTGCTCTTTAGAAGAGAGAGTATTCAACACGCGATGCACGTCCACATTTAATCCCGTTAGCTCGAAACCGTGTGTCAGTCTGCATTTCAAATTAAATTACACTCGAACCCCTTTGCCAATGCCCTCTGCCACCCCTCTTCTGGCTTTCGTTCCGCTTTGTCCGTCATCGATTTCTCTTTTCGTCTTTCGTCGATTCGGGGAGGGGAGGATGCGATAGAAAATAAATTACATTGGAATTAAAAAAAAAAACGCATCGGTCGATCAGCATCAATCAAATAGCCAAAAACGACGAAGAGAAAAGAATTGATCGAAACTTCAATCTTTCGAATATCTATCTTTTTCTTTCTCCCTCTCCCCGTAAGGGCGAGAGTAAAGCGTTCGACTATCGTTTTCTATGGCACTTTCCCGCGTCATAAAAAAAAAGAATTGGAGGAAGAGGAGAAGGAACGATAAATGGATTACGACCGGTCACGAATCGGCTGCGAATAAAGATAACTGGGCGACAGGCACGTATAATGTGGAATTAGAGGCGCATTGTGCGATAGAGCCGGCGGGATTTACGCGCCTCGGGGCTTAAAAGAGACGGAGATTTTCGAATTCATAATAAAGCAAATTGCTGAAAATTGGAGTGTCGAAACAATTGCAATCGCGTATGAAATATGATAAGAATTTCGGTCCGGTAATTTTAACTGCAAATTTTTATATACTTTTTATATATAATACATGTATATATTATCATTTTGAAAAATATTTCAGGAAATATTGTTGTGTGTGTTATACAACAAATTTTATTTTTAAAAATTAATCTCTTTTAATAATTAATTTAATGTAATAATAACTTTAATATATAATTCAAAAATTTTCTGGAGTATTTTTAAAGTAAATTAATATTCAAAGTGAGTAAATTAAATATCTCCTATTTCTATCTATTAGTAATAGATAAATCCTTAACTATTTAAATGATTTCAACAAAAAATAATGTAACATTGTATAATTTTTGTAATCGGTTGCCTACAATTTTGACAGGAATATTTCATATATCAAAATATATAAGATTTGATCATATCTTAATAATTGTTTATATTAAAGATTATATAATTGCAGATTATAAATATGAGATATAATTGAAGATATCTATCTCAAAAATATATATATTAAAACAAATTTTGTAACTATAAAAATGTATGATTCTGTAACTATAACATTTTGTTATAAAGAGTTATTTATTCTGTTCTAAGGCTATTATCATTTTCAGATAAAGCTATAATATTATTTGCTATCATCGTAATATTTTTTCTTATCAGAGTGAAGAATCACTTTCATCGGAAGGATCGGCCACTTCGGGAGGATCTTCGGGATCTACGGAAAATTCTGGAAGCGAGGTGGCCTGCGACATTACCCTGATCGAAAGACTTATACGCTCTCATCCGATCTGGTTTCTGCCAGGCATCCAGAGAGCCGGGGCCTTCCACTTGTTACAGGGCAAAGAAGAGGGGGTGAGTGTGTGCTATTATAAATCATAAATTAAAATTAGAAATTTAACCTTTGTATCATATCGCATTTTCAGGATAAGATAAGTGTAATTTGAAACAAATAGTTTTTGAAAGAATCGAAATTAATTCTTAGTAAACGCTATATATGCTGGCCATTAATAAAAAATTGCGACATTATATATACATTATTATATAATATAAAAGATTACTTGTGATTGAAAGTCGTTTAGTCTAAAGAATTTATATATACTGAATGTGGTATGATTACAGCAATTAAGAATGAAGAATTATTATTTATTAAATTTTCTGCTGCAACAATTTCTTGCATGCTTCGCGTTCTAATCTTCGTAGAATATGTTTTTCTATGGAATAGCTTTGTGCGATAAGTAAGGAAAAAGCACTATAGTTTTCTCTAGTCTTATAACTCTTAAACATTTATATTTTAAGATATATTCGAATATTTTTCGGTATAAAAATTTATGAAATTATTTGTACATTCTTGAGAATTATTGGTAAGATTATACGAGCAAAATTATTGATGCTATATGATAAGCACACACATTACACTGATAAGTAAAAAATAAACTTAATTTCTGCAAGAATTCAAATGTGTGTTTTAGGATTAATAATAAGTATTTATAATATAATCTATTAAATTGCAAACGTAATTTTACGAGAATTAAATATTGATTATTTTTAGTTGCTGTCAAGATAGAAATTTTATGAAAGGATTATCAGTTATCAATATATAGAAAATATTTGATTATCAAAAAATTTTTATTTTATATGAATATTCCGTGAACGTTTTTGAAAAATCCAGCATTTTAAATTTAAATATTTCACATAATATATTTATAAAAAAAAAAGAAATTAAAACTCTTTGTTATATATCATTCTGTCTTACCTCGTTTTCATTCTCTTTATATACCGGGGACATTATTATCTTCTCTCTGAATGGAAGGTATCATTTTCGCTCGGCACCATTTTCCGCTATCCGCATTTACATCTGCTGCTGCATGCCTCGAAACAATGAATGCGAGTGTTGTCTACTTCTAACATCCGGCCGGATTGTACTACTGTAAAGAAGAGAAGAAACCGCATTACTCCCAGAGTGACGGAAAACTGTGTCAATGCTTGACGGCGCGCAATTGATGCGAAATTGTGCTCTGGGAAAATCTTTTACATACTTACGTAAATCGAGATAGCAAGATCGATGAAGCACACATAACTCATTATATAATACGGGCATTATTCTTTTTATATTTTTACAGGATATGATATTAATGCATATGTGGTAGAAATATTCTTAAATGTATAAATCCCTACGAGACTGTAATCTAAGACCCCAAAAAAATTCTACAGTTTACTCTATTTTATTTTTAAAAAATTCTAGAATTTATTCTATAATTTCTATAATTCTGTTCTTTGTATAATTTTATGTATGATTTATTCTATACTTTTTATAATTTTTTATATTTCTAAGATTAATAAATATAAATAAAATCTAAATAAGAAAAATAAAGATAATAAATATATAAATAAATGATAACAAAATATGAAAACAATTGATATAAATAATGAAAATGTAATTATTGCATAAAGCATAGTATAAAGTATAATATGAAGATCCTTTCAAATTTAAGATTTAAAATTGTGGAATTTCCAAATTTCATATAAATCTCTTGATAAATTATTATTAATTTATTCTAGCTTTTTTAATTATCCTAATTTCTTTGCCCGTTAATATGAGAAGTTATTCTTATTAC